CATGATACAGTTCAAGTTGTTCGGGACATGTTTTGCATTGTCCATTAACCATCTATATCTTCTTGTCTCCCTTTATGAACTAATAACTCAATAAAACATAAATAAAAAGAAACTAAAAATTTAATTTAAAAAAACTATCCTTGACTTCTAGTTCATTATATTTCCAGGGCATATAAAATGGTTGGTTGCTATTAAAAATAAGTCCATGAAGCTATCTTTTACTTCTCATATTCTTCTCAATCAGTAGCTTCCCTGGATTCTGCATGAACTTCATAGTCATGGTAATCATAAATAAAAACACAGAAACTTAACTTCCCGAAGTCATGAAAATGCATCAACGTGCTATTTAAAAAAAAAAAAAAAATCAAAGTGCTTTGAAACTATTTTTAAATTAACTTTAAAATCAATAATATATTTACATATTTGATGCATTTTAAATTGTAAATTTTTGCATATATAGTATATCACATTCTTCCTCAACTCACTGAGCACTTAGAGGAAGTTCACATGTCTTTGGCAGAAGGTACAAGAATGCAATGAAAATAAATTTAAAATTGTAAAAAAATGTATATCAATGATTGGTAGCAGAAAGCTTATGAAGAACATGTGGATTTCTAATTATATTATTATTTATGATTGTATTTGTTTTAATGTACTTTATAAACAATTTGCATCCTTTAAGGAGAAAGCACAGTTCTATCTAACTGGCTAAATAATTCACAAGTTTGATCTAATTTGGAGAAAATTATAGCATTGTCATAGCTATAATATTACTGAGACATATTGTGCAAAATATTATTTTCAACGTACAATGCTTTCCACACTGTATTACAATATTCAACCCACTGTGTGTTTCCAAAATACAAAATTGTCTTAAACATCTAATGTTTTTCCTTCTGGTTGATTTACTGTGAAGTATGCATAGTATATTATAGTTTTAAATTATTTTCCTAGAATATATCTACCATTTGACTTAGTTTAAGCTTGGGTACTTGCTATTCTGGTCACCCCTTGTCCTTGTGAATTTTTGCATTAGCTCTTTTATTCTGTCACATCTAGTTTACAGTCAAGTAAGTTGAAAAATCCAATGGCTTAAATGATTGCTTGCTAATATATGATAAGTGTAATGTAGCTTTAGAATTAGATGACCTTGAATTATAACTTGTCAGAGGGAGGTTTTTATTTTTCATATCAAATATCAACATAGCACATTTATGGATTGTTTAAAACTTCTAATCTATTTAATTTCATATATTTATGTTTATATTTTATATTTATATTTATGTGCACAGAATGGACACCTACATTTCGGTCTTATGTTGGTTCGACTCAGCAGAATTATGTTTGTTAAATATATCATATATAGCTAGATAAATATAGACATTTTTCTTTTTACTTCTCATTTTTTTAAATATAGATTTCTTTTTTTTTCTGCTCCTCATTTTGTTTCCTCTATATTGCTCACTTCTATCTTGGTCTATGGATAAAATCAATGTTTAGTGGCTGTCCACTGCCATCAATTATATTCGTTTAAATCAATCATCACATTTTTTGGCACCATGGGCGGAAGCCAGAATCAACTATTGTGCCATTTCACTTTTCTTGATTCAGGTACATTTCAGTTTAGAGTTCGGAAATTCGACCGATCACCCGATCACTCGATCACCCGATCAGCCCAATCTTTACTTACATCTCATGAATTACAGTTGAATCTGTAATCTGTTGAATCTAATAATTGTAGCTTTTTAGCTATATGTTTTGGTTTCATTGTTTCAATATCTTAGTTTTGGAAGAAAAGCAAACACAGAATTATTCACTAAAGTTAGAACTGCAAGTAATGCAAAGTGATTAGTGAATTTAAAGTGAATTTTAAAATATAGCAGAATTATAAAAATTCTTTAAGACTATTCAGTTTTCAATATGGCTATTCTGAATTTGAAATTCACTTTGAATGGTATTTTGTGTTACGATGTGTAAAAGTTAATTACAATTTCAAAACAAAAAATGCTGCGGGAAATAATTTATGATTGAAAAATATAAGTTTAACCCCGTAAGGACACCACCTTAATTTGCTTGTTTTGTACTTAAGGATACAAGCAATTTTGTAATTTTTTTCTATGTGTGCGTTCAACCGCAATTTCCATTTAATTTATTATGATTATTATTATTCATTTTTAAAAGATGAAATTAGACTTTTTTAATGTGACATATGCATATATGAATTCTCTTAAATTTATTTTTAGCACATGTGTTAGATTTTGTCCCTAACAGGGGTCTGTATGGATAACGTGGGTTGATATGAATATAGGGATTATCTCATATGTAGTTGCAATAAACGTCATATGCTAAAAAGTCAAGAAAATATATGAAATATATCCCCGTACTGGTGGAATCCGGGTGTTACTTGATTCATCGGACTCAACTTTGTCAGCTGTGGTCAGTAATGAATTGTGTACTTCAAGTGAGGATGGTATAACATACTTTAAATCTCTATGGCTAAATTAACTCCCCAGGATTTCAATGTCAACCAAGATAGTATGAGACCCACAAGATCTAAAAAGACCCTAACTTGGCCTATTTGTACGATTCTCTGCCAAAAGCTATTAGTACTTTGCTGTAATTGCACAATATAGAGTGCTCACAGAGCTATCTGTACTATGTAAGCATGGAAATCTCTCCCAGTGACATAATCTGAGGGAATCTCTCTGCATTACAGTTAGAAATAGCATTAGAGTTAGGGTGAGCATTAGGGGTTGGGTTGGTGTTCAGGTTAGAGTTATGGCTGCTATGATATCAAATTAAAGTTGATGTGTGTTTGGTATTAGGGTTATGGCTGGTATTTAGGTGTCATTAGGCTTAGTGTTGATGGCAGGGTTAGTTACGGGTTGCATTAGCTAATATTAGAACTAGCTAGATTTAGGTTTAGCTTGTGTTAGTGTCTGGTAATGTTAGAGGTAGGTTTACAAATATTATTGTGTGATGATAATGTCAATAATATCTGTGGGATGTAAGCAAAGAGGAATATCAAAATTAGGGTATGTCTGTTGTTTATCCATACAAGTATCTCAAATACCTGGCAAAGGTAAACATGCAGGCTATTATTGTATTCAGAGGCAGTGGCAGAATGCAGTGATGTGGTCTTTACAATAATGGGGCACACGCTGTAGGTGCGATTCCACAAGACAAACACAAATCATTAAACATAACCAGTAGACTTTGCAGAGATTGGTGATAAAATGGTTACATTAAAAATGACAACATACTCTTAGTTATAATATAGATTTTGTGTAATGGTTTTGAATTCTGTGAATATTATTATAGTCGTAGTTTCTGCATACCAAATGTTTGGTTTTAAACATTAATTTACTCCTTGTAGTTGTACTATAACAATGTAAATCACCAGACTTTTTGGAAATTTTAACAACCACATTTACTTAGCTTTACTTAATAATTAAATAAATCTAGACATGTGAGTGCTTTTGTCCCTTTTTTAGAGGGCTGTGCACAGACATAACCAATAAATAATGTTGCAAACATGAAAAAAGTTTGCTAGTGAATGAGAGAATTGCCTGTAATATCTGGCCTTTGTTTTCAGGGTAGTGCCACAATTCCAGAATGTACATACAAATCCAGGAACAAATATTTATAATTCTTTAATTTTGATATGCATGTAGGTACAACAGTGCCTGTATCACCACAACAGCATCAGCAGGCTCGGTTTTCATGGTCATAGCAAAACAGTATCATGGCATGTTGGGTTTGCATATATTTTTAAATAAAAAGAAGTAATGATTCAAGATATAGTCATTTGAGTGTTAAATAACAAACTTAATGCATTTCTAAACAAGACTTAACAAATTAACCTGGAACGAGCAGGTACAGTAAATGTCTGCGTGCATCCCTGAATGTGAGGCATCACGGTAGTATGCAACAAGCTTAGCAGCATGTTGGGTAACACTGGGCATGCCAGGTGATAAGTAAGCAGTAGTATTACTGTAAGGGTATGAGGACTGGTTTGTTAATACGGTTAACATACAAGCCTGCGGTGCCACGATAGCAACATCAGGCATTTCAAAATGCACATTATCATGACAGGATTAAGTTGCACATTTTTTTGTATTTAACAGGTTATATACGTGTGGTTAGCAATAAAAGATCATGCATAGTGGCATTTGTGTTAAAACATGTTAATAAAAACAGACAAATGTAAACTGTGCCATTATAATTACAAGGTGGGTTAGCATAGAACTTAGACTGTGCTTGTTAATGTTCTGCGTTGATGCAAGTATATGGTTAAGAAGTAGCCATAAGAATCAGTAGTGAAGTGTTGGCTGGCCCCCTTATTGTTTGTGCTGTTAGCTGAGTAACTGACTATGCATTAAAGTGTCTTGCGATTTAACGGGCGTTTGGCTGGGTAGTGAATGCATGTGATTGTCTCTGGGTAACTAAATCCACAATATGACACAGGTGTATTGTGCTCGGTAGTATGATGTTTGTAGATTTAGTAGTCCATATGTAAGTAGGTGCAATGCGGTCTGCCCACTGGGTAAAATATATTTAGATTTAGATTTAAATTTAGAGATTATGTTGCAACAGAAAAGTCAAAGCATGTAATAATACTGTGTCAGCATTGGTCGCGGGTCTCAGTCTCTGGGTTCCCAGGTTGGGGTTTCATCCAACTCCGACATTTGGTAGGCGCCTCTTATATTCGGGAGGTGCAGTGGTATCCCTCTGCGCCATCTTGTTGGTCAGCGGCAAATGCTGGGCCTTGTGCTGATGAGGCTTGTTCAATTATGGTGTCTCGGGTCCGGGCTGTTGTGATGTGCTGTTGCTGGCTGTCGATGCTAGGGTCTGATGTTTTCAGTAGGCTCCCTTCTCGTTGTTGGTACCTTACTCTATGTGGGTGTCTGTCTCTCTTACGGGTTGAGGGGAGTTCATGAGGTCTGCTTGGGTGTGACTCTAGCGCCGTTGCTAGGGCTCTATTTATCAGCTTTGGGCGGTTAGTGCCCCTTTGTTGCTTCTGCATTGCCACCTGGCGTTCTCCTCTTTGTCGCCTGCTTGCTGGAGTGTATGGGAGCCACGAGTATGGGCGGCCTTGTGGTGGGTGAGGTCTCTGCTGAGCTGCAGTGCTGTGCGTCCTGTGGTGTTACCGACATGTTTGGGTGCCTTGGCTGCGCTTGAGGTGGTGCCGTTGGATGAGGTGCCGTTGTGGCTGATGTTGGAGCGGGAGACTGGTTCTTCTCCCCTATGCGCTCCCAGAATCTCTGGCATGCGGCATCAAATTTGGCCTGTAAGGCCGCTGCCCAATTGCTGGTGGTCTGTTGCTCTGGGTGAGCTGTGCTGCCGTTGGCCATCTTGGTTGGGCCTCGTGAGACCTTTCGGTCGGGGTTGTGCTTTGGATCGCCCCAGAGGTGAGTGCTCCCCGTGGGCAGGTGGACCTGGATGAGCCCCGCAGATCCAGAGGGGTGGGGAACAAGGGCTCTTATTCTCAGAGGCAGCTAGTGGTGGCGGTGGGAGAGCGTCCGTCCCTCCCATCCCCGCCATGCGAGTAGGCCCTGGGCACTTGGCTGGTAGGTATAGCTCGAATTGTCGCTTGTGGGGTGTCATTGCACTCCGCTTAGTGTCCCCTTTCATTTGCTAACCTTTGTGGCCCGATTAGTCGCTTTTGGGTTGTGAAAGTCAATTTTTAGTGTAGCTTGGTGCAGGAGCTCTTGAGGCTAACGTCTTCCAGGCTCTGCGGTCAGGCCCCGCCCCCAGGAACAAATATTTAATAAAGTAAACAGTTTCTTTACAAAATTAATTTTAGGGACACTCTATAAAAATATACCACTCATAAATGTAATAATAAAAAATGGAGGACACATTATAATAAGATTATTATAATTATAAACACAGTATAAAACTAAATATTACAAATATTTAAGTTAATTTGCCTAATAACATGGAAACCAATACATTTTTTTTCTGGAAATTCTTCTAAAATAATCATAGTTAAGCTCTTATAAAGAAGAAAACAAATGAGCCAAACAAATAAACATTCATCATCAAATGTAAAAGTTCACAAACCCAAACAGTGTGAATGAATTTATTTATTTTCACTTACCAATATGCCAATGTGAATCCAAAATGCCTCATGGTGTTATAACAAATTGGCCTGATTTCCTCTCAAGGCACTCATACATATTCAATGTCCACTACAACTTATGAGTGCCAACATCTTTTGAATTTGTATGTGTCTTTTATTTGCATATAGCAAACTCATAATTTTCAAAGATAAGAGATAACGTTTTATATGTAAAGAAAACAAAAAAGAAAAACTAAAAATAAATATGAAATATTTATTAATAACATTAAGCAGCAGGAGCACAGTACCATTTAAATCACATTTTGTGTGTGAATTGTCAAATAGTTTACAATATATTCTTTGCCGGGATTCATTGGCAATAATGTGGAATCTAAAGGGACTATTGTTCTCTATATTCTGGTAATACATACTTTATATTTCTTAGTAACGAGAAAAAAACTTTTTTTTATTTTTAAAATAATCTTAATAATCTTGGCTGTCATGTCAATAACTGGCAAATATGTTATTTCAAACTGAGAACATTTCTTTCCAACCAGATATTTTTTTTTTTATTTCTGTTTAATATATAATGTAACATATATAAGAAGTCTGATTTAGAAATAAAATGACTTTTAAATTACAGCATTGTGTTTATTTTAAAACAATATTTGCATTTATAAGGACAGATTTCTTGAAAATGTTAGGGTAAAAATCACTTCCTATTGTTATGCACTATAAAGATATTGCATTAAAATGAAGGCAAAAAGAGTTATTGATTTTTAAGGTGTCCCTTGGTGCACAGTTTATTATACTTGAGTTTTTCATTTTGGCCATATTAGGATTCAGCTGAATTTGGGACAATTGGCAGTTTGGCAAAAATCTGTATTTTTAAAACTCTTTGCATACTTAAAACTGAGCAGACAACAAGGTGATGCTTAAATATGTTCAGAAATAGGGGTTCCAAGTAAAAGAGATGATGGATCTATTTTCTATATCCAACACTAATTGTTGCAATGAGCATTTTAAGGGATGCTGCCTTGATTTGCTGACTGTACTTAACTGTAGATACTTACAGGCCCTTCCTCCTGCAGCATCTATGTGAAGGCCCTCCTTTTGGCTGGAATGATACATTCATCCTCTCTGTTGGCACTGTTTGCCCACTGTAGTTATGAGGCTGCCAACTCTGGGACATGCTATTATTGTTCAGAGGGAGTTACTACCAATTGTCCCACTGCACAAGGACTCACCTTTTTGGCCTTTGCTATCCTGGGTGCTGGAGGACAGATCGAAAGACCCGTACGTATAGTTGGTTACCTATTTCCTACCCTTCCAATCCTTTTGGGCCAGAAACCCATAAGGTTATTAGGACAT